TAGTAATTGATTAGTGATAAAAGTTTAAAATAAATATTGAAAAGTTTCATGTATATTTTGCAAAAAGCCTTTATCACTTTTTTTTTAACATGGCATAAATTTTAAATTTAATGCTATTTTTTTTACATAAAAATTTTTACATTCATCTGTTTTGCACATGTTTTCTTCAAATATCATCCCCAAGTTTAAATCTGCATCGGAACAAGTAAAAATCATTCTAACAAAGTTTTACTTTTTATTACATTTATATACGGTTTGAATTTGTTGATTTGTAGTTTATCTATGCCAGTTAATTGTTGTAATTTTTTTTACAACTTTTAATTGCTTCAAAATTTCATGCAAATTTTATCGTTTGTATCGTTTTATATATAAATTAACAAATTATTTTCATTTTAATAAAGTAACTTTTTCCTCTTTGCTAATACATCATTATTCATTGATTTCTAAATTTATTAGCTATACTTTTTTGTATAAAAAAGTTTATAAATGTAACATGTAATAATGTTTACTTTTTAAAACTTTTACTAATTTATTAGAAAAATGAATACTTACTTGTTAATAAGTAATTAAATAATTAAATGTCTCACTTTTATATTTACTTCTTTCATGCTCACATATAAGAATCTAAATTCTACTCTTAACATTCATAGCCGTCCTTCAGATTATCATCACCGATAACGGAAATTATTTTCGTTGCACTCATTGACACGCATACCCTATTATTCTTCACACTATTTTACTTTCTTTTAAGATTACCAAAGATATACTTCTTAATATTTTTTGAGAATATATCTAAATTTACTTATAAAAAAATATCCTCTTCACGCATTTGTCTATCTTAATATCATCATTTTTAATCATAAATTTGTAAAAAAAAGAAAATCCAAGCCTTTTAATGTAACTCAAATATTCTTCTTGATTGCTTAAATATTTTTATGATTTTTGTGACAGCAGTCAGCATTACTTCTAATCACTATAACCTTTATAAGTTCACTTAACAATTAGTTACTTACTTACTTACTTACTTTTAAGCAACTTACTTTTAGCAAAAGCTGAAGTATACTTTCTATGCCAAGCAGGAACACAAACTCTGACTGCTAAAGTAAGTCTCATCAATTTGCACGAGAAAACTCATGCATGTTTATATATGTATGCGTTATGCGTTTTGTATTGAAATTATTTTCAAGTAATTATTTTCATTCGTTTACTTACAAATATTTGATATTTGCCTTAATATGTGTTTTAAAAGGATATAAATTCCAGTTTAATGGTACTCAGAGCAAATGAGTTGATGCTTTCGTTTTAACTCTTGACAAATCCTAAAGAAAATTAAATGGTCTTGCAAGACATTTCTTGCCAGTACTTATGACGTTGCATTGATTGAACTAGTACTTGTTTTATCTTATTTTGTTAACGTTTAAATTTAACGTTTGTTTTGGTTATTATACACAAAAACTTTGTACTTACTTACTGATCAAGTTTATCTCTTCATTTTAGAGTTTAAAAAAAAGTTGACAAATTTTTTTAAAATTTAAACTATTAAAGGTTATTACTGAAATTGCATAGTATTTCGGAACTAAGCATGTAAATATTTAGGAATATGTCAAGACAGCGTATTAAAGACGTGTAAATTTGTTGCATTGTGACATTGATATGACACAAACAAACAAATTTGCTACAATAGTTTGTTTGCATTTAGTCTTTTTTTTAAAAAAAAATAAAATAAAGTTACATATTTCAATTCTGAATTATTTTTATTGACTGTATATAGTGACAAATTTGAAAATTAAAACTAACTAGTTTAAGTACTGATTACTTAATCAATTTATTAACTCATTTTTTCGCTAAATTAAAAATTTAATATTTACTTAAGTTCATATGAATTTTGAATAGTTTATTATTTGAAAATTTTACAAGTACTTTTGCGAATGAATTAAAAATTAGTTAAAATAAAAATTGTGTAACAGTAACATAATCATATAATATTTGAAATTGCAAATAACAAATAGCAAAATAATAACTGATTTATAGTTTTGCAAGTAAAACTTTTTCTTGTTTACCTTTTATTTAGACTCACTTTGTGAATGATTCAATCATTCACAAACAAGCCTAATTTTCTATGACTTTTCATCAAGTAAATAACACGTATGGATGCTAAAGCATTGCTATGTACATATAATAGTTGTGACAATATTAGTAATAATAATGAAAATAATCAAGCAAAAAATATGTCTGCTGCATTTGATTAGACTTATTAATGTGTATCAGTTTTGTTTTCAACAAGTGTATTAAATTACTTATTTACTTGTGAATAAAAATAAGTCACTAGTCGAAAATTTATTTACGTACTTGATATCTTATTTAGTTAACTACTTGCTTTATTAATATGTTTTCATACAATTTTGTATGAAAGTTTAATTTAATTTTCATTAATTAATTTTTTGAAAAATTTTTATATTATACTCAGTAATAATTATCTAAAATATATACCTACAAATGCAGTAAATATCTAGCATGCAAAGTTTATTGCACTATTTTTTATGTATTTACATTCTAATCTCACATCTTTCATTTTTATTGCTAATTTTGTTCAAACTAATTGTTTAATTTTATCAAATTATTACTTTTTCATACCTTTAAATACCTTCTTTTAAATAATATTATCAGTTTGCATTAATGTATTACTTCAACAATGTTTTACTTCCTTTTGAATTTACCAAAACTAACAGTGCTAGAAAACTTGCTTTAATATTAATAAATAAATAAATTTTGAGTTACTATTCTAACTATCGCGCACTTGCTTTGTTTCAAATTTATTGCTGTTATTCATTGTGGCGTAAGGAAAAATGTTGTTTATAAATTTTATAAAAACTTGTTACATTTAATAATATTTTCTTAGTAGAGTCAAAGGTTAATAGTATAGAATATATTCTGCACACAATTTTGAGCGATTTTTCATTGAATTCGTCGAAATTCTTTATGCTCGTTGGCATTATTGTTGACGATGATCTTCTATTCTTTCGAAGATAATATTTTCTTTGTGCAAGCGATTCATTCTTCCTTTTAGACTTATTTTTTGTCTACTGAGGAAAAAGGTGAAAACGAAAAGTTTTATAACTTTTTCTTAAAAATCAAATACAAAAATTTGCGTAAATCCGTTCAATTTTGCGATATCTTTTTGATTTAAATTACTAACAAATTAAAAAAAAATTAAATCTATAAAGTATTTGAATAAAATCATTTTGTCTTTCTTAATTAATTCTTACTCATAAAATTAGCAATATTTAATTGCAATTTCTCTACTGAATAGCTATTGTAGTAAAATATGCAGTCATGCATACATTTAAGCATTTATTGAAGAATTGTCAATCATTTGAAGAATTTGCCAGAATTTAATTTATTTTAATTACGAACTTTATGTCACTGATCAAAAGTTAGATAAAAATAATGAAAAAATATCTGCATGTGCTGAGTAAGTGCTAAATTGTTAAGCCTTATAAAGTTATGCAAACTTTCTCTTCTAATTATTGTTATTCTGATCTGATACTTTTTAAATTTTATTTTTGCTTATTTTCAGAACTCTTATTTATAATATTATCCATTTTTTTTTACATTCATTAAATTATATTTAATTGTTAGTCAATAAATAACTGCTTGCTGATATCATCTAGTTGATTATCATCTAATCTGATCAACTTTCATTAAAGATGATGCAAATTCTATAATTTCAATTTTTTAACAAATAATAAATTTTTAACGAAATTATTGCCTTGTATTCTTTTTGAGTAATTTAGAAATTTGTTTAATTTTACTGATTAGCGTAAAGTTATTCTTTTTAAAATATTATTTTTGCAATGTTTTCGTCATTCTTAAAACTATTTTTGTATATTTCATTGAATAGAATTACTAAATTTGTATAGTATTCTTTTTCAAGCGTAAAATTTTTGATCAGTTTCAGATATGAAAATAATGACCAGTTGAAAAGAAATGCCCATCGTTCAGCATGAATGTTATCAATGTTATAGTATCGTTCTTACCGATGATTGTAACTATCGTATTCTTTTGCATTACAAATGCAGGTTTGATCTTGTAATTCGTCGTCTTCTGCAATAATTTATTTTATATACACAATTAGTGAACATTTCAAGTTAAAATAAGATTTATTCGTTAATTACAATTCCTCAGTTTTTACTCTTTTATATTATTCATTTATATTTTGTTTAAATCTGAACATTTTTAATAATATATGATAACGCGTAACTAATTATCAGTTAAGTAATGTTTTATGATAATGATTTGAAAACAAATCATATTTTTTGTAATCAAATTCACTTCAGCTTTTTTAATAATTTTCTATACAGAGTTGTTTTAGAACTCTTGGTAGATATTAACATCTATCTTAGCTAATAATTGTTTTTTATTTACAAAATATGTCTAAAGGATAATATTTTACTTTGCTGCAAATGAATATTACAAAAATTTTTAAGCCTGAAAAATTCTTTACATTTCATTTTTAGACAGAACTGTGATTGAACTTATCATCATTTACTTCTAGAATTTTGAAAACCTCGTAATTTAATTGCTATTATCTTAATAACAGCGTTTATTACTCGTCTTATCTGATATTAGAACTAAATATGCCTTCCTAATTTTACAGCATTTTGCTAGTAGCTTCTAAAATTACTTAATAAAATCTTATTAATTCGAAATAAACTGCAAGCATTTGTGACTGCTTCCATCTTTTGGCAACATTTACTTTAATAATACTCACTTAATATTTTATTTCATTTCATACTCTATTTGTTCATTCTTAATTTCATCCCAAAGATTAAACAATTTAGCAAAATTTTAGTAATTATTACTTTGATAAGAATAATTAGTAAAAGAAAATATTATCAAGAACTGATGATTTTCAACAAAATAACTGAGGTTATTCAGGCAGTATTCATCATTCGAAGTCAGATGGAACTAGCAGTATTGAACCAAGAGCAGTGAACGAAATGTTAATTCCAAGGTATTTATTTATTTTTTGTTTATTTATTTTTTAATTGTACTTACTCATCATTATTATTAGCACGATTATTTATTCACTGTTATATACAAATTGTAGACTTTCGAGTATAAAATTATCATCTTTAATAATTTGCTTCAAAAAAGTATTGCTTTTCTGTTGACATTTTTTTTTGGACCAGCTAAATCGCTCCTTTGCTTCATTATAACTTCATGATATGATTATTATCATGGACTACATGTAAATAAAATACAATCTAATAAATATAAAATTTGAATAAGAATGAAAAATAAACAAATAAATGACAAAAGTTTAAAATAAACTAACAAATAGCTTATACTTATTTTATTACTAGTCATTTTTAAGGCTGCTTAGAATAACTAATTGTAGAAGGAAAATTGCAATACTTTTTAGATTAGATAAATGTAAGGAAGATATTATTGAGAAAAACAGAATGAATATACTCATATATTTCTTCTATTATTATCAAGAAATTATATTACTTCCCGTTATTAATAATTGGCAAAATATGCCAGAAATATTTCATCGTATTATTCAAGTAAACAAATCTGAGAATAGTTAACAAAGAAGCAATGAATGATAATTGTAGTATTGTTATGATATTACAGAATTATTCAAAGTCTTTATTTGATTCATGTCAAATTTTTATCAGTATTGAATTTTAATGCAGCTAATCATTTAATCTATGTCTAACTTTACGGACTAATTATTTTTCATTGATACTTGAAATTAGTCGAATCTTATTCAAGTTAATTTTATTCTAAAAAATCGTATAATTTGATAAAACAATTGATATTATAAAAAAGTTTTTCAAAATTATAACATGACAGCAATCTCAAAATTATGACAATCAAATTTAAATACATGATTTTTATTGGCGTACAGATCGTCAACAACAGCTTTGATGTGTGAGCCTTTATTTGCTGGTACCAGTAGCAAAGCACAGTGGTTTCACGATGGTATATTTGTAAGCAATGTTTCACGGTAAATTTTGAAACAATAATATTATAAACTTAAGAGTTTATTACTCCAAAAAGTAGGACTTTGTGCATAGTTAACCTACCGTTACCGTTAAATTTTCATTTTAAATATTTAGCAGCACAAATTTCTTTCATTATTTGTTGATAACTTATTTTACTACTATATCTGATAAGTTTTTGAGAAATCAAAATACCTTTAGTACTTCGAATGCTATATTGCACAATCGCACTTACGTTTTTGAACAAACTGTACCAAACGTTGGTTTTCTTATCATCACAAATATTACTCTCGGTGAGTTATTTTTTTTTATGAAATTCAGTTTTGAATTTATCAAATATTAAAATATGATCAGGCAGGAAAATGTAAGATTCGAGTATAAATAATGTTAATACATACGTAATAATATCAAATGCATACAATTTCAAAAAACGTTAAACGTTTGATTTTGTTACAGATTAAAGTAGATAAGACTCCTTTTATTGTTTATATTTTTAGTCTTTGAATTTTTAAATGCCTTAAATATTTTGTAGCAAATTCAAGCATGTAGATCTAGCATATAGTAGTAATCTTAAAAAATGGAAGTTAAAAACTTATTGAAAAAGTTACCAGACTGTTCGTAACTTTTGCTCTATTTCAGCATAATCTATAGTTTTCAGTTTTTAAATTACTTAATTTTCAATCAAAATAATACGAATAAACTTGACCGATGAATACAAAATGTGTTTTATTATTTTTCAAAATAAGCACAGCTTTTATCATAAATAATTGGAATAAATTTGAGTTTAAATTTCATGCACATTTTAGATGATGAAGGAGATTATTGGTGTCGAGCAGATAATGGAGAAGAAGGTGAAATATCTCATATTATTATCGCTTATATTAACAGTTTTCCGAATTATTCTAAGCCGATATTTTATCCACCAAAGGCATATTTGGGACAGTACCTTATTGCTACCTGTCCAACAACAGAAGCTTTTCCAGCACCAACTTTAACATGGCTTTTGGTTATTTCTATGAACTTTATATTTTTGTCATAGTTTTTATTAATAACAATTTTATAATTTTAATTTTATCATTCGAAAATTGCATTGCATAATAATTGTTGTATTTTTTTTTTGTTAAATATTTTTTACTTTGCACAAAAATTATTCATTTTAATGCTGAATTTTAGAATGGGAAAGCAATTGATTTATCAACAAGACGAATTGTACAAAGTTTTAATGGTTCGCTTAAAATTTTGCAAATTTTACATCAAGATATTGGCTTGTATGAATGCATTTTGACAAATTTTGCGGGTCGTACGAGTGCTAAAGCATTTTTAGAACTTACTCAACAACCAGTTAATGGTAAGTTATACTATACACTAATTTTTAAATTTTGTTTTATTCAAAATTATGTAATAATTATTATTTATCGTTGATTTAATTTTAAAATAGTATATTTTTGCTTAGAAAGTATTTATATCTTAGCAACACATTACTGATGTAATAAAAATACTGATCTACTTTAATACTGACTACATATATTAGTGATAGCATTTGCAATTTTCTCATTCAGTTATATTAAATTTTGTAGAGCATTTTAATGGTGTATTGTTTACAAAAGCTTGTCAAAATCCATTTCGAAGTGGTTTTCTATGGTTTTTGATCGGTTGTTTTGTCACATGGTTTGTTCCATAAATTTTTACAAGTTATCCTTCATACTAAAATCAGTGTTAAAGGATTTGTTCTCATTAGTTATTTGCTTAGTATATTTATTCAAAAATAATGATTGATCGTAATCATAAATCAATAATTTTAGTTACTTTGTTCACTTGGGAAAATTCTTCATTTTTTTATCAAGTATTCTCTCATTTAATGAAATTATATAAAATTTTCAAAAACTTACTCTCAGAAATAAATTTTATGTATGAAAGTGCGAAAATTTTATCAGTAAAGTAAAATAACTGTTAAAAACTTTTTTGCAAACTTTTTATTAAATTTTTTTTAAAGCTGTGGCGTACTGTTATATTTGATATGCGCAATGGCTTTGATTCGTTCTGGTTCTCGGTATAAGAGATCGCTCTATCCGAGCCCATTAATTCATAATTATCCAAACTTAGCTCCAGGATTTCGAAAAGTGGTTGTACATGCAAGTGATATGCGTCAAAACTTGATTGCAACTACGCCAAATTAAACTATTGTCCAGTTAACATTTCTCATATAATGTGTGCTAAATACGTATTGAAAGTGCATATTTTTATCTTTTTTCAGATTTTATTTCCAGCTTTAAATAATGCAATCTATAATGAATCATTTTATCAGTAACAACAAGCAAAGAAAAATAAGCGTATAATTTGTTTCTGTAATTATAATGTTCAAACATTCATATCAATATAGTTAGGGATGGTTCAAGTCAATGTGACCAAAGTAAAGCTTTTATTTATGCTTACTTTTTTCCACTGATTAAAGCTTTAATTTGAATTTTTAATCTGAAATTTATTTATTGCAAACTATTAGATTTAATGTGCTGCAAACCGTACCAGTTTTTTCTTCAATGGAAGCTCACTACTTATGGAATACAATTTTATATGGTCTATCAAAATTAATCATTTATAACTAATCGAAAATAAAGTATTTCAGTACCATTAATTTCTTTCAGTAAATAAATTAGTGCTATTGAAATACTTTACTTTATAATCAAAAGTGTCCTCGTCAAATTCATTCATTTTATCCTTTAAATTTAGGTCAGTACATGAGTTGTTACTTACTTTTTAATAAAGTTATGAAGTATTCAAAATTTCAATTCTCTGTTATCAATTATTTGAAAATAATAGCTAGTTGAAAAAAAAACAATCAATACGCTACATTATATTTCTCATTTCGATATTTACGATTAAATTTCAGGCGTTTTCTTTCATCTATCACCAAAGTGTTTTCAGTTTTGTAGTTTTATTATTGTAATAAATGTTTAGTTATGTACGGGTTTTCCTCATTATAATCTCTGGTTCATTTACAAATTTTTTTAAAAATATCCTCAATAAAATAGAAATCTTTTTGTGCAAAATGTTAATCATTTAAAATAATTGTCATTTTTTATTGCTCTATGTAACTTTGTTTGTGATTAATCAGAAATATATATTTATTACTTCATATGTCCACAAAATATCATTTATAAGCAAATTAATCCTGAAAACTTATTTCAATTTCTTTTCGTACGCAAAATATAAACAGAATTTCAGCTTAATTATAAAAATAAAATTTGCATTTTCGCATTAATATTTAAAAAATATTATAACATATTTTGTTCTAATTTCAAAGTAATAATAGTTGTTAGATAAGATCTGTGCATAATATTTTTTGCATTCAAATTTTCTGCCAATCATTTCATACAATTTATGGCACTTAAAGTCACTATGCTTTCTTCAATATGACGAGTTTACTGAGATGAAAATGCAAAGACTAATCATTTTTCTATAATAGAAATGGAAGTCTTTTGTTAACAAAAGTGACTGATTCATTTTATTTATTAAAAAAAAATATTATAAAACAGAAATATTTCTTTAGAAGCAATATTTGCATAACGGAATGAATACTCTTCAATCCATTCATGCACTCATTGTTTAATCCATAAAACTTTATATACCTTCTAAATATAGTATTCGCTTATTTTCTTCTTCACTTCATGATTTAAAAAAAAAAGTATTTTTATCTAATTAATGATAAATATGTAAATAATTGATATGAAGCATTATCATTTGCAGTCTAGCACAATAGCCTAAGAGTTAGATTAACTTCACAATAATCGAACTAAGCATGATTACAGTATGGCATGGAGTATTGTAAGAATAAGTGATTACAATGCTATTTCTACAAGCTTTTACCATTTTAACTGTAGTCAAATATTCTCTAGTAACTCGAAAAATATAATTTGATTTAATAAGGCTTGAAGAAGTCCTCATCACAATTTTTGTTGTAGTAAATACTGTATGCAAATAATTACGTTTTGAATAACACAACATGAGCACTAAATGTCTCATTTTGATGATAATGTATTTGCAGATCCTACATGGAAATAAACAATTTGCTGCTAATATTGCTAATAGCAGTTAGAATCTTATTTATTCACCATAATGCTATAAACGGTTACCTTAATTCAATAATGAATATTGCAGCAACCATGCATACTCTATACTGAAGAATTTCATGCATACCAAGTATACTTTCGTTCTACACACAGTAAAGTCTGTTATGTTAGCCCTTCTATAGTGACTTATTTGTCACATACACAAGCGTAACGTAATCGCACTCTCATGCAACTTCCCCACACTCTCACGTAACTTTGAAGTGCTCTTGAATACTTAATAGTTCGAATCCTTCGCATTACATTGAGTTTCATGAGTTTTCTTGACAATTACTTGCTTTTTACCAATAAAAATGATACTACCACACCGTTAAAACAAGTTGTAATTAACTCTTCAATAAACTATTACTCTCTTTAAATTAAACTTTTTTTAGATCTTTAAAAGTTCGACTTTTTATGTCTATGTATAAACTTGACTCTTCAAACATGGAACATTAATACAGAAACAAACTTTATTGTGCTAACAGAATGAAACATACCACTTAATTGCAACAAAAACAGGGAAACCCATCCACAACTCACCCTAATATATATGCCAAGAGAAGAGTGGTTGCTTGAAGAGATGACTTTATTTCCAAAATACTTGCATAAAGAGAAACTTCAGATCAGCAAATATTGTCGTCTTAAAGACTAGACCTAGAATGCAGAGGGATTTTCACTTTATTACCATGTTGTAGTGCAAAACTTTTAATAAAGGTTTTCGTTATGATAATGAAGTGTATGCTTCAAAAAATTCTTTAGCGTACATAAACGCATTTACTATGCATGAACAAGAATTGCGATTCACATATGTATGAACAAAAACTGACCAGATAACATTCATGAGAACAGAAACAATATTTAATATTGTTAAGCAAAACAAGAGCATTTTCTATTAGTTTGCTACGTGTTTAATGCAACTGAATAGAAACATGATCGAAAGTTGTAGAGTACTGAAGAAATTTTCTAGAAACCAGCAAGTACGACTACAAAGACAAATGAACATATTTGAAATATGTAAAGCATAACGAATTAGACATACTTGGGATAATGTGCACGTGCATGTGCATCACGGAACGATAGTTATGCCATCTCTAAGCAATAAATATTCCGTGATTTCTAATCTGCTTGAGTGCATAATAAGATAAGCAAATTCCAATTTATCTACTTCCCACTTGTGGTTCAATAAAATACCTCCTTAATAGTTATTTCTTTTCCTTTATTCTTCCAAAGGCCCACTTCCTTCCATTTCAAGAAATGGTAACACTCAAGTTGTGCAATTCAAAAGAATAATGTGAATTCAGCATCAATTTTTTATGAAATAATAAAACGGACATAGTATACGACGTTATTTTTTTGCATTTCAAACTATGTATTAACCTTCAAGTAGAAATTACTGGAGCACACAAAGAAAAAATTGAACATCGCGAAAACAAAGCTGATTTGCAAAAAAATGCTGAGAACAAAATGCATAAATGTTTACCGATATTACTCGGCCTTGAATTTACCTGATAGATGAAGAAATTCCGATTGCAGTAACATTCAAGAAATAGCGATAAAAAAATTTAGAACAAAATACTGGAATACATTTGAAATTATTAATAAGACATACCGTTAACTAATATTCAATTACACAAATTCATACAACACACAAAAAATTCAGTATGAAATAATTAAAAAACTTCTTACTTTGTACCTTTCTTCTGGACTCTATCAAAAGTCTTAATATTATATCCTGAAGAAAATCAGTGGTATTTTGAACACACATACAGTAATATAAAAACTACTCTGAATTTTGCACCCGAATTAAAGAACTATCATTCTTTGTGAATAATTCATTTGGCAGAGGCAGTAGATGCAGAAGAGAAGCGAAAATAGACAACCAGCTGGAAAAAAGCTAACTCATAAACTCAAGTTACAATTTTGCCCTAAGAACATACCAGAGGCAAAAAATTGCCATTTTTTACTCTGTTTATAAGCCGAAATATAACAAAACTTACTCTGACTGTAATTACAACACAATTGCAGATATTGAATTTGAAGTGGCATTTACTAATTTTTTTCAATAAAAAATAATGCTTACAGGGAAGCAAAAAAAGTCTCTACCTGATAATATAGTTATCATATATAACATTCTTCATGACGGCCGCTGTTTTACAGGGATGAATATGATAGAAAAAAAGGTTGAAAAAAGGATGTTCTCGCTGAGAAATTGAAGTCAAACTATCTGCCATCAAACGTTTTCTCGTATCGACTGGAATCATTTCCAGAATTTCATCGATGTCTAACAAAGCACCTGCTAGAAATATGCAGAACATTTTTAAAACTTATGAAAACTCACTTGAAGAAAAATTTAAATACATCTCGAGCTAAAAGCGTATGCTTTATAATTATGGTATGTTTCGTTGAGCATGAACAATGAATCTGGGATAGGATTAAAAAATGTTTTCAACATTTCTTATAGTCAGTGGAAGAATGCATAAAGTATTACATTTATTTAAGCAACCATGTAATTGTGTTTAAAAATAAGAAAATTTTAAAAAGTTATGAAATGATATGAAAAGAACTTTGTCGACTGAAAATAAACCACAAGATGGGGACGTTGTAAATTTCACTGTAGGTAATATGAAAAGTCCGCATAATAGTTTCTCCATTTCTTTCTACCACTGAATTATTAGCACAAAACTGCCCATTCCTGTGCTGAAAAAAACAGGTATAATTTTTGATAAAAAAAGTTTCACACAGACAAATGTGAAGTTTCTAATTTTTATAGTAAACTTTTTATAAGCAAATGAAATGCTAATAAATGTTTTGGTGTACACAAAAAAAGAGTTAGTGTTAAAATAGTAGACAAATATGAAAAGAAAAGGTACATATTATTTTCATCCGTCTCAAATTAGGTATTTTAGTTCATTTGTTCCGGCATTTATGAGAATAATGCCAATACTACAAAAAGAAAGATCAAATAAATGAGCAATATAACTTCATGCATATTACTTTGAAACAATTAGATTAAAATAAATGAAACCTCTTTGATATGCCATTGATAGCTAATATCAAAATCTGCTGTTTTCCTTACCAATTCTTCAATATCCTGATCGAATTTCGCTTTACTTATTGTACCCATCAGTACTTCAAATAAAAAATTAAACGTATACAAATAGTAGCATCAGTAATAAATCATATTTCTCAATTAATCAGAAATTTATAATAAAACTATTAGATTTACTATATCCATGTAAGCTAACAAATATGTGTCAAATGCAAATATCTGGTTCAAATCACCATACACAAAATAATTCATACGAAGATGTAGTGAGATCGAATTTATTTGGAACACACTTTTCATCTTTGATTGCATGCAATATTAATGAAATTAATTATTCCTTTTAAACTATGCAATCTGTGACATTCATGAGTCGATCGCAGGAGTCACGTTCAAGGATAAAAAGTTGACAATTCAAGACAATTAGATGCTAACAGTATTGTACTGATGCTTGAGTTTATCCACAAGATGACAAAGATTTTTACAAAAATATTCACAATTTATATAAAGGAAAATACTGCTTTGAACATTCTTCCATACATTGATAAATGAATGTGAAGAAAAAGAAAGTAAACTTATTGAATATAAAAGGAATTCACCATTTAGTAAAAGCGATTACTAAAAAAATGCTCTGACAATAATAATTCAGAAGGATAAAAAATAAACCCATACCTTTTCTGAATTGGCATTCAGTGAATGAGGGCTTCACGAGAAATTTGTTGTACGTTCACGTAAGCATCTTAGATAACACAGTCACCAATTAAACGAAGAGAAGGTATGCATATACAAAGCAAGCACTCTTCTCCACTATAACTAACTTCACAAATGATTCAACGATAAGCAAATTACGCCTGTTTCCTGAATACTTCTTGCAAACAAGGAAAACACACATTCATACACTCACGCATGCACATACACACATACACATATATATATATATATGTATATATATATATACACTCACACTTACACTTACACTCACATTCAGTCATAGATCGATGATTAAACAAGTTGTCCTCTTGGAGTGTAAAGGCGTTGAAATCATAAAATCCGTCTCTACGAAATGTTACGATTCACCTGTGTACACTCACATATGTGCTTGCACGTTTGCATTTGAGTATAACTTTTGACGTGTGTATGTGCTAGGTAAGTTATATGTTTTTCCGTAACAAGTAAAGATAGTAATTTTGTGAGAGTACGTACAAGTAAGTGAATCACAAGAAGCAAAGAATGTGTCTTGATTAGCTTATCACTTGACAGTGTCATTGCACAGTCATAATGTCATGCACACGGTGTGCATTGAAGATATCACTCAAGTTAGTATGTAAATTTGTTGTGTAGCATAGCGCAAACATTTTTTATTGTATTTTAGATATACAAAAGCAATGATATTCAAAATTTGGTTGTCTTTCATCTAAGTTATTTTAAATAAAAATTTGAAATTAATGTTTGATTCGCTCTTGTATATTTAGAGTCTAAGCAAACAATAGTAAATGAATAGCTAACTAATTGTTGACAATAGTCAAGAATAGATTTATTTCTCTTGTGGACAGTATATTTCATTTCATTTATAAATACACTTTTTAGAGAAAAACTTTTGGAAGTAATTACGCCCTAATTTGCTAATAAATGGCGGTACTTTATGCATAATTATGAGCTTTGTTGCAATTATCAAACAAATTACCAAATATATGCTCTTAGTGTTGAAACCTTGCACAAAATTTGGTTTGGCATATTGGCTTGATTTACTTATTTACAGTATTCTTTTACTAACATTTCAATTTTTTTTTATCTATACAAATTATCTAATTTATTTGGAATAGATTTTTTTTAATATTTATAATATATGAATAGCACAGAATTTGTTTTACTTTATATGTATTAATTTTACTCCACCGATTTAAATACATAAAAGCTTTGACCCTTTCATTTTTGTAATATTTATTTTCTCATCCAAATAATATTCTTTTTTATTGAATTGAAATTTCTAAAAATAAACTAGAATTAAAATTGATCTTCACTTTATAAGCAATTTTATGCTAGTTTTTCAATTAATTCAGATGAGATTTGGATTGGAACATCGTTAGTATTTGAAATAGAAAGGATAACAATGGTTAGTAAGTACGTCCTTAAAGCAATATTACTGAATTTTGCTGAAATCATCAAAATTATTGAAAATTTCATTTGAAAAGTTATCAAACTTATTGCAATGTAAAATTGTTGAATATATCTGTTCACTATTGGTTTTGCTCAGAACAGAAAATTTTGCTGGCTGGTTTGTTTCAATGTGAAGTACCAAGTAGTAAGCATACTTCAGAATCATTTATTTCATACATTGCTTTACTTTTACTTTTATATAAATCATTCTAAAATTGGCAATACTGACGGCTTTTGTTTCTCCAAAATGCAATTTTCCCAATCTATTACAATGATAAATGCAAACAAAAAATTTCATATCATACCTTTTATTATTGTTTACTTTTTTAGCAATCAGTTTTTTCCAGAACTGTTTTCTATCAATCATTAATATTGATTGTATCAGTAGTCAACAGAAAATCAATCAGCGTTTTCTCATCAGTAATGAACTTTTCCCGGCATTTTCTGAATTGTCCTACTGAAATCAAACTCATTCTGTCTCGGAGATTCTTATCTTACATTTTAACCTGTAGTCTTCTGATAATTGTCACAATGATTACTATCTCATTTACAAGCATTCATTATATTATAATTTACTTTTACAGTTTTAGCTTGATATCCATATAAGGGATTTTTTGAATTATTTTTATACATACATTTTTTCCTGCTAAATTTTTTTTTTTGTAAAACAGTAATGATTAATTTTTACCATTTTTTTTAAATAAAGAAAAAAAGCAAATATTTTTGACACATTTTTTCTGTTTTATTGATTATCTCTAGGAATTTATTTTGCAATCAGTAAATAGAACAGTTCACAATTTTCTGCTTACTGTCATCTACTCATATTATTAGCCACAATATGTACAATAATTTATGAATGAAAAATAATGATTTGAAGTTGTTGAATAATTTTGAGTTAATTAAAATTTATGTTATAGAATTTTTAATTTCAGCAATTTATTTTCAAAATGCATAAAAAATATTAATGAAAATGTTTAAAAACAATCCAACTGCTGATTTATGTAATTTATTTGTTTTCCAAAATCATTCATCTAAAGCAACTAAAAAGTTTAGGTGATGAAGAGAAAAACATATGCTTCAAAAAAAACATTTGCAAACTTTTCTCTTTATTTTTACTAAAAATTTGAAACTTATCATTTTTACTCTATTTTATTTTATTATTTTACATGCGAAACTTGCACTAATTCTTCTTTCCATTAAATCTTGCTATTCAACAATTTTTTTTAACTTATATTTTTTATTTTTTGTGTTTTTTATTGTATAATAACCTTTTAATTTAATTACTCTGTAGTAAATCTTATGTCCATTCTTGTTTTGTCATTTTAACTTTTTTTTTTCTGTAAGTTATTTTTTAACGAAAACATTTCTGATGTATGCATCTGGACACTTTTTTTGCCTAAACCTAATTAAAATGAGAAAAATTCACATGCATGATGTTGGCATGAATTCTTAATAAATAGATATTCAAGAAATAAAATTAGATTAAATTTCATTTTACATAGTTTAGTTTACAAGTTTGTGTCCTTCAATTTTCACTTTAAAAAAAGGCAAAAAAAAAAAAATCATCAACGATTAATAACAGCATTATGGGCTGTAAATTGAAGTTAGAAAGTATTTAGTCCAAACTGTGAAGATTTTTGTGTGCTATAATCATAATTTTGCGTGATTTTCTTTCATAGAATGATAATGTAATTGAGATAAACAAAATGAGATACAAATTTGAAATTACTAAAAGTAATTTCATTGTAGTCAATCAAATGTATTTATTGACTTATGATTTTATCATTTTCTTTCTACTTCATTTAACGAAAAAATTCGACTTGTTTTGGTAGCACTATTGTATTTTTTTAATCCGTATCAATCTTCGATGTATATTCAATATACTCACTCGTTACAAATTTATTATTATTATTGTTAATATTATTATTATTGTTGTTAATATAATTATTAATATTTATTAGTTATTCAGTTTTTTATCATATGAATGCTGAAGTCACGTAATTGAACGTAATGCAGTAAATTTATTGTACTTGTTATTGTACTAGAATTTTCATAACAACGGCACTTTTTTAAAATTTATGACTTATGTAATAATTGTACATAAACAAGTTCGAAGTTATTAAACATATAATTTGTATTAATAAAAAATCCAATACCAGAAGCAACAAGTACTTTAATTGTGGTGTGTAGTAATTTTTTTAGGTCATCATTACGCGATTATTTGGCGTCAATGATTAAGATAAATGTAAAATTTGCAATCTCTTTTCAGTACAGTTTTTTTAATTCTCTATAACTTTTATATAGCCATTTACAATTGAGGACAATTCAATTGCTATTAAATATTTTTCATATTAAAATTTCATTACTAATAGATAAAATCTTTTAGTGAAGTAAATGAAATGAATTATGCATTCGTTAGTATCACACAAAATTAGAGTAGTTTAGTTGAACACAATTTTTTTCATTATTTTGACTTGCTAAACTTGTACATTTTTTAATTTTTAAGCCTTCCAAATTATTATTCACGTACGTTTACTCCATTTTCTCTTTTTTTTGCTATCGAAAACTAATTGCTATATATCATCATTAATCTCTATTTTCATTTTTTTTGCTTTTTACTATTATCGATTCCATAGTTATAAATACTTGTAATTTTAATTTATTAAAACATTGCTTCTATTGTTATCGTTTTTATTATTTGTTTGTCTTCAATTTATTGTGATTAATTATCATTGACTGAAATTTGTCTGTATTTTTAATTGTTTTCATTGTTTAATGATGTTTATAATGTGAATTTTACCTATTTTATCTGTGCATTTTTTATATATTTATTTCATTTAAACCAACTTTTTTTGTTATCCCATTATTATTTAATTTTTTATCCTATTCCAAACTAACTATATCGAAAGTTGCTTGAAAATTTA